AGGCTCTTGGCCTGGTTCTCCTTGTGTAGCCTAATCCACAGGCATGTGGAAATTCCCATTTGCGTTATCCCGAAGGAAAAGCGAAGTTTGTGTGTCTCCTGGACGATTCCTTGATTCCACAAATCTTTGTTGAGTGCTTCCTCATTTCATGGGAGGCACTAGTTTAGAGTTGGTTTATTGCCTCTTCTTCATAGAGACTTTTCCATAGTAGCCTTCACTGAGCGCTTTTCTCCACAAGGGCAAAGTAGATTGTCGCAAGTCTCACTTGGCATGGTTGAGCATTTGTCCAGAGGCCAGGTGGCAGGGGTAGGAAGCAGTCTGTGGAAGACAGGGTAGACTGGTGATGAAGAGCAAAGGCTTGGAAGCTGGACACACCTGGATTTAATTTAATTTTTATTTTTCAGGAGGGTAGGTAATTAGGTTTTTAATTTATTTACTTACTTGACTGGAGATTTAACCCAGGACCTCATGCGCCCATTCTGCCACTCAAGCTATCCCCAACCTGACGCCTGGATTTAGATCTCACCACCACACTGCTTTTTTGCTGCTTTGACTTTGCACAGTTTTCTGACCTATCTGTAAAATAGGGAGAAAAGAACATTAAATGATAGTCTTGGTAGCATAGTTAGCACAGCACCTGATGCATAGTAAATAATCTGTGAACGTAACTATTTTTTCCCCTTTTTAAAAAAAATCGAAGTATTGTTGATTTGCAATGTTTTGTTAGAGACATGGAGAACATAACTATTTTTCTATATAGGCATCCAGCTAGGGATGTTCCTTCATAATTTCATCTAAAACAATAAATATGTGAACTAGTTATTAATATCTGTGTTTTTCAGGTAAGTTTGCAGCTCACAGAAATTTAAATAATCTGTTCATAACCGCAGAGCTAATAAGCAGCGAGAGTGGAGATTCAAAGCTAGGCTTGTGTTCCAGAATGATGCCTCCTCCCTGAGGGAACAGACCCGGTGATCTCTCAAAAGGCCCTTGCATGCCTAAGGTCACACTGTCTTGGGAAGATCTTCCAGACAGGAATTCGGAAATCAGGGAATCTTGAATCAGGGAGGATCCCCTACAAGGAGAAAGAGAAAATGCCACCCTAAAAGAAATACAGAGAAAGAGATACAAAGTCCCCTTGTTTCCCAACATGAAGGGTCACAAACCTCATATTTTTCTTATATTCTGAAATGGATTTGACATCCTTTATAGAAATTACTTCCAATCTCAAAAAACAACAAATTATTTAAATCCACAGAAGGGTCATTGATATGGGCTCCATACAGCATAGGAGCAATGGCTGCTTCTGGTTCTGAAACTTACCCTACTTTTTCCAGAAATACGAAACTAATGTTGGGTCCCAGGGGTCTCAGCTCTCTCGAGGGGAGAAACAACGCATTGCTATCGCTCGAGCCATTGTGCGAGATCCTAAAATCTTGCTACTAGATGAAGCTACTTCTGCCTTAGACACAGAAAGTGAAAAGGTAAGTACTGACTTTCTAAAGTCTTAGATCATTATAAGTGAGTCTTTTGCTGTAACATTTGTCCTTATAAAATGGCAGTATTTTCAATTTTCTGATTCATTAACAGTAGAAATTGCTACTACTTTGTGGAAACCAAAAGACAGTCTAGAGAGAGTGATTTAGAATGGGATTGCTTCAAATAATAATAATAAAAAGATTAACTTTAAAATAATGATTGTTTTTAAGATTCTCTAGGCTAGGTGACTTTTTTACCCTCAAAAATTAGCTTTCTTAAGTAAGAAAACAACCCAGGCCATCTGTTAGGCATTTCCTATTTCATAGTTCTAAAGATTCATGGCACAGCAGGTGGAATACGTACGATACAAAGTAAGAGGCAGCATCTGATGTGCGGTTTGCATGTCAGGAAATGCAATTGGGCAAAACACAATTAGGAAATTTACCATTTGCAATTAACTCCTCAAAAATCAGGATTCCGTTTTGGAGAGGGCTAAAATATCTCACTGAAGAACGTTATCAGGAATGACCACTTAACTGCTACCTTTCATTGTTTCCTTGGTTTCATTTTCACAATCTAGACCATCAAATATTGTAAAATTACACAGTAATCTCCTAGTTTGGTTCATTCTTGCTTCACTGAAGTTTCTCAACCTGTGGACGGCAGTTGAGGTCCTTGATGCGGTGCATTCAGCAAATGTTTATTTAATCCTCTCACGTCCAGTCTTTGGCTTTAACCCCTGAATATAGCGATGCCACTCAGGTGGTATGAAACAGAACTCTTGTGATGATGAGCCAGAAAACAAGCATGTATCTTTGCATCAACTTCCCATCTTTTTGCAGACGGTGCAGGTCGCCCTGGACAAAGCCAGAGAAGGTCGGACCTGCATTGTCATTGCCCATCGTTTGTCCACCATCCAGAACTCGGATATCATTGCTGTCATGTCGCAGGGGAGAGTGATTGAAAAGGGGACCCATGAGGAACTGATGGCCCAGAAGGGAGCCTACTACAAACTAGTCACCACAGGAGCCCCCATCAGTTGACCTGACTTGACAGCTTCATGCAGAGATGATGCACCAATTACAGGAGTGTCATGCTTCTTTTTTTTCCCTTTAAGGAGAAGTAATGATATTTCACTTTTACAGACGCTGTCATACATTGGTATGTGAGCTAATTTGTAATGACGTTCAATAATAATTCAGTTTTAAATGTTTGTCTATAGCAAATGACAGCAAATTTTCAATGTCAGTGAAAATCCAGTGTCATGCAGCTGCTCAGCCATCACCCAGTGTTTTCTTCACTCAGAAGGAGCCGGTCCCAATTACCAGGTGGGAATTAGCAGGAAGGCATGGACTGAATGAGACTTTGAATTCCTCAGGGTCAAAGGACCATCTTTTGCATTTTGAACCCTCAGTGTACACAGAGCCTGATCTAGAATTGGCACTCAGTGAATGTTTTCTGAGCTGGATCAAGGTCATATGCATTCAAATGCTCTACCACTGAGCTGTACCCCCAGCTGCTGGATCAAGGTCATATGGAGAAGAATAGAAGACCTGAGGACCAACTGGGTTTCTTGACTAAAGTCTTCTTGTATGTTAAAGCAGATTCATTCATCTCTAAGGATGAGAATGAGGAAAGGAGGACTTCAATACTCTAGACACTCTCAGGCTGAGAGAGGCAGAAAAAGGCAAGTTTTAGCAGGGGCTTCCCAGGTAGGGATGTTGATTTATAGATTCAAGGTGTGGTACATGGATGGTGAAGTCACCATTTATTACCCTAGAATCTACCAGTGTGACTGGAGCAGGGGGCTGTACCCCCAGCCTTGTCCTCTACACGCCCGTCCACATTGATTGCTGTCCTTTGTTTCTCCAAATAACAGTGGATTTTATCTTGTTGTAGCTTCACATGGTGTTATACAAAGACACCAGAAAAACGCTGATGTTCACTTTATCCTTACTCCCTAAAACACGATGAAATGACATTAAAAGAGTTATAGAAGACATAAAGTTACAAAAATAAAGAAGACAAAATAATGACAGCAACATAACTTTTGCAGCCAGGAAGCAAATGGACAACTGATAATGGGTTAGAAGAGGAAAGGGTTAGAAGGGGAAGCCTAGGAAAATCTGTTTTGTACCACAGACCCCAGAAAGACTCAGGTGTAAAGACACTGGATCCTTCTGGTGGAGAGCAGGGAGGGCAGAAGATGGGGTTGAAATCCTGTATAGAAACAAAAGTGCATACTCCTCTCTTGTAGTAGGAGGGCCACCCTTTCCCAATCTGATGGCCACTCTTTCACAGTCCCAGCAGAAGACTGGCTATTCCCTCTCTGGGGAACTGACCCAAGTTACAGTTGTAGGGGCAGCTAACATACAAGAGATGGGGATTGTATGTAAAGCTAAAGGTGAACAGAGAAATTCCAGCTCCCTCCTTCTCTAGCAGGAGATTGAAGGATTACTCTCTGGGAAAACTGGCCAATCAGAAGAAAGAGATCCATGAGCCCAATGCTAGGGATCCCCAAAGAAACTCCCCAGCCAGATCACCCTACTGTGAAGCCCACCTGCCAACAACATGCACCCACTCACTCAGAGCTGCCATTGGCTTTTCAGTACCTCATTCTTACCTAGGAGCTGACTGCCAAGGATCACCAGACACTGAAAATAGTTCAACATAAAAAGCAAAACGACAACAATAGAACACAGAGGAAAAGGAATATGAGAGGTAACAGAGCCAACACAAAAATTAGGAAAACATTCAAAGAGTGCTAATACATTTGCTCGGTGAGATGAGAAGATACTCCCATCCAATTTAAAAAGAAACAAGAGGCCATAAAAATGAACATACTGAAAGAAAAAACACCCTACAAAAAGAGCTCTTGACAGCAGAAATAAAAAATTCAGTAGCGGGACTGAAAGTTCCTTTTAAGTGGTCCTGCCATCAAGATATCTCCCTAGTCCATCTCCTTTCCAAGCCCTTTCAATTGTCAAGTGTTCTCTTTCTATGGCCAACAAATGAAATTCTGCCTGGAAATAAGCCTGAGCTGCTGTGTATTGAGGTATATAGTTTGTGTCTCAGGTCCAGTGTTTCCTGGTATAACCATACAGGTGGTTTAGTAAGTTAACTAGTTAGGTCAGAAGAATTGATGGTTGCCAAGTCAGGGAGGGAGAGGGTGGAGGACAGCATTCTAGTTAAGTTATGACAAATGGCAGTGACAAGAAAGTTGCAGAATAAAGATGCCTGTGAGAAGCAATTAAGCATGTACTCATCCGACCTTATTGAAGAAAGAAGACCAAAATCCATTTGTTTAAATTTGCATTTCAAAGAGGAAGAACATAATCTCTGTGCTGGGAGGCTGCCTGCTTCTCGGAATAGAATGTGTCTGGTGAGAAAACTGAACAATTAAGGATTATTTTTCAAGTAAGATATTTGAAAGTTATTGACAAGAGGGATAATGTTGACTGAAGAGGACTTGATTTGGGAAAACAATTGAGTTTTGAGGCTCAGTGACAAGGGAAAGAATTACAACTTCAGAAATTCAAAAATAAAGTTGCAAGTTTATTTTACAACACCAGGGAGTTCCAATGTCTTTATTTTTACCTTGCATCCTGTATTACTCACAAAGATTTGTCTCTGTGATTTTACATTATTGTTTCTCAGTTGATGGAGAGACTTGCTTAATCTGTTGTGTCTGACACTTATCTTAAGTCTTTCTGTAATTTCTAATGTTTTCATGTTGCATTCTGCTATGATCAAGCTCTTCCCTTAACCACAGTTAATAAAAGTTTACAGAAGAAAAAAAAGATAGAAGGATTAGAAGATAAAGTTGGAGAAATTTTCCTGAGGGTAGAACAAAAAGACAGAGATGAAAAATAGAAAAAAAATTTAGAGGAACAATCCAGGAGGTGTGATAATTAGCTAACATCAATTCCAGAAAGATAGTTAAGAGAAAACTGAGGGGAGAAATTATTAAATAGTCCAAGAATATGTCCTATAATTGAAGGATATAAATTTCCAATGAGTTCACCTGATGTCAAATATAATAACCAAAATCCTATCTGGGCACACTATTATGAAATTTGGGAAAACTGGCAGAAAGAAGATACTAAAATTTTCCAAGGTGGGGGGAGCAAGTTGCACATGATAAAGAAGCATAGTGACATAGGACCTCTTGACAATGACACTAAGAGTCAGAAGATGTAAAGATTTGCCTTCAAAATTCTGAGGGAAAATTATTTCCATCCTGTAATTTTATGTGTAGGAAATTATTCTCAAGAATGAGAAGTCTATATCTTATAATCCAGCTATCCAACCCCTGGGCATATATCCAGAGAAAACTCTAATTTGAAAAGATACATGCACCCCAATGTTCATAGCAGCACAATTTACAATAGCCAAGACATGGCAGCGACCTAAATGTCCA